AAACTGAAGACGCCTGAATATGATGAATGCATACTTCTGTTATTACAATAAAGTCACAAGTGAGACGTGGTTTGTATTTAACAGTTGATTCGTCCAATTGCTCAAAAAGCTGCATGCTTATTTGGATCGTCATTAAATCTGCTCTCTCTCATAAGGGTGTGGAATAGAATTAGGATCCAAATCAGGGCTCAGCTGATGAAAGACTGCCAAAGCACAGTGCCACTTCCCCTTTCCTGATTCTCTTTTTCCTTGCTGCAGCATAGAGAGGAAGGACTGCTAGCCACAGACCTGTCTCTCAGGACCCCCTCCTGGTGACTAGGAAAAGGCTAGGTGAAGGAAACGCCTTCCCTATGACTAGGAAAACCATAGGTGACAAAGGAGGAAAGGAGCAGGAACTGCTCCAGGAACTTTCTGCGTGTGGGCTAGGATCAGGCTGAGGTATGCATTTCACACCCGGGACTCTTGAATCATTCCCCTTCTACATCTTCATGTCAGCTGGGATCCTGAGAAACTTTCAGAAGTTGTGTCCCAGCTCCTCCCGGCACAGCAGCGGGGGCCTGCGCCATCCCAGCAATACTGAGCTTCTTCCTCCAGCTCCTCGTGTTTCTGCTGGGGTATTTCTTCCCCCAGGGAGGGAAATGAAGTAGGGGTGGGAAAGACTTTCACTGTGACTAATGCAGCAAGATGTACCTCCTAAAGGTGATCTTTTAGGTTCTTTTCAGCTCCAATCCAAGAATATTTCACTGACATGAATGGGGCACACTGCGACTCTGCGAGACCCTTTTCTATTGCAGATGGGTATGCAGAGCCACTCACCCATGTGATACCGCCCAGCTACAGGAAAGGGATTCTGCATTTCTTTCATCACAGATATACTCGTCACAAAACCATCAAGACAGGAGCTGGTGCATGGAAGCAGCAGGCTACGCACAGGTACTCAAAGCAGCGACTGCCTAGGGAACGCCAGGCTCTCCAGGTGGCGGGAGGGCAGCGCGGCAGGGCAAGTGGCTGGAGGGAGAATGGCACAAATGGGTATGGTGGGAAGGGGTTTTTACCCCCACCCCTGGACACTGAGGCACAGGGCAGAAAAGAATAATGGGCAACTTTACCTTCTTGAAAACCCAGTCTTGCCCTTCAGAGCTCACTTTCGTAAGGTGTCTCCACAGGCTCTGTGCTGCTCTCTGTACTGTTCCTGTCCTCTTTACCCAAATCTTTGAATTATAGGTTCAGTGATGGCGCCTGGGGAGGGGGAGGACTGAGAAAAAAAGAACTCAAGAATGATGAAAAGACAGAGCAATGGAGACGAGAGGAGATACGGCAGCGGTGAAGCGGCTAAAACACAAGTGATGCCTTCTCCAGCAATGGCTGGTGAGCTAAGGAACACAAAATCAACACTCTCCTCTCTCTGGAAGACTAATGTTGAATTTAAGCCTACAGCCACACCTGGGCAGCGCTCAGCGACAATGCTCTTTCCAAATTCTCCCTCTGTTCTAAGAGTGCTTTAGCTGGTACCAGTCAAAAAACTTCTGAGGCCTCTAAACAGGGCCAAGGTACGGTATCTACTTCAGCTGGCCAGGACTCCCTGCAGTCTCATCTTCTTCTCTGGTTTCATCCCTTGAATGGATTTTGTCTCCTCACAGACTTCTCCACTCGTCCTGGGCCCATGGTTTTGCTCAGTCAGATTTCTTCAAAGCTGCACTTGAAAGAAAGCACTACTGTCCAAACTTACCATTTTAATACAAGTCATTAACATAACATTTGGTGCCTCAGCTTCTGAAGGCAAGCATGATTAGATGTTAATCTCAGCTTTCATTAAGAAAAAAAAAAGTTTTGTTATTTCCCTTTGGGTTTTGGAGAAAAGCTTGAGAATATAAAAAATGAAAATTCCAGGCTCTAAACCAAATAACACACAACATATTATTTCAAGACACTATTTTTAAAGACCGAGATTTCACTGGTCTCATGACTTTTGACCAGAGACTTGGCTGAGGATTTGAGTTTCCCCTCCATTGCGCAGGAGGGGACGGGAAGGAGACACCTCTCAACAGAGACTGGGGCCTCGAGAATGCCCATTGTCTTCTGACAGCCTGTCTTGACATATATGCCCCAACTCTCAACATTCCTGGAAGATCTATGGCAAAAATGCCATTTTCCTCCCGCTTCCGTGCCAACGCGCGCAGTGACTACAAGAGACAAGACCAGCAGCAGGTCTGAACCCTTCCAGTGACCAACCCGGGCAATGACAGGATGCGACTTCATTGAGCATTTCTCCTTTTTTTCTTTTAAAAACCAGACTGCTTCAGGAAATTACCGTAACCCTCCTCTGCCCGGTCACCTCCACCGCCTTTACGGGGAAGGCGATTCCCACTAAGACGTGTCCGGGCAGTGGGCGCTCGCCACATGTCGTGCGTGCCCACCGCACGCGCCTTCGCACGTCTCCGCCATCGAGCTCTGGCCCCAGGGCTGACAGGCGCGGGCACATGCACAGGACCCCCAGGATCCCCCCCGGGCAGGACGCCTGCGGCCCCCACAG